AGTTTGGTTAGGAATTATTGGAGTAAAGTAATAAATAGCTCAAAGTTACCAACTTTGCTTTCATGGTTTTTAAGATGATGTCAACAGATGTCATCCAAGGATCTTGTTGTAATGAATTGGACAAAGAAAATGTTAAAAAAATTCGCAAAATGTTTTCTTTTTTTAATAAATTGTTACCCAATAAATTAATTGCTGTTTCTAGTGATGTGATAACAGATTTTAAGGATGATACCAAGAAGATTTCCACCAAGATCAGTTACCCAAGTTGCCCAAGAGTTTGTACCAAACAAATTCTGTTTGATATCTCAGAGTTTGGTTAGGAATTATCCCAAAATATGCCATCAGATCTCACTCATAAATCCTGTTGATATTCAAGGCCTCCCATGTTTGTATTGGTAGTGAAGACAGAAATGCTGACCTTAATCGATGATGATCCGCACATCAAACGATTCTACATTAATCACAAAAAGTGTTGCTTACTGTCACAGAAATTGCTGTGAATATAATGACAATAGTTCTCTTTGGCTTGACTTGCTGATCCACGATCTTCACAAATAAAATTGTCATCATCATCAGCATTAAAGGCTTCAGGTTTCCATATGGTACTGAATGTCTTGCTAACATTCATAGTTTACCCAAATTGTTCTAGATTTCCAACACGTGTAAATTAAGATGTGATTGATATTAAAGCTGTAGGTTTTTGATACTTGTTTTCATGATGAAGACAACATGATAACATCTTTAAGTTTCTAGTCTTAACCACATTGCCAACATTATCAGTGATTGGTAATAAAGAAGTGATTTTATTCAAAGAACCTTGAAAGCTTACATCTTTGATGGATGAAAAGGCTTACATCTTTGATGGTTGAAAATGTTCAAGACGTTACAAATAATGTGGTAAACTTTGTTCCATGACATCCAGACCATCATCAGTATGTTCAGATAAATGTACTACATGTTCACAAATCTTTTTTCTTTGATGATTTTACAGTAATTACTGTAAACACACATTGTCAAAGTTTTGCCTGATCCACTGTTGTTGTTAGTTATAATGCTGTACACCAATATCATACAGAGAGAAGAGCACATGGTACAGGTACCTTCCTTGTAGATGTGCTGAGAGAGTTCTTTTACTTTGTTTTCAGCTTGTAAACTACACCATGTTCGCTTTGCTAATAATCAACAACTCTGATGTATTAAATCCAATGAATGGCTCTTTATAATGCTACCAAATACCATTAGTAAATAAATGTAGTTTTTATCTTTTTCTTTTTTCACTTATTATTCCAAATATCCTCACTCTGGTTGCCATACATTTTCTTGTTTAGATCATAGGTGTTGCCATTAGTGATCTAATTTTCTGTTGATATGCAAGTAATATTCCAGTGCCAAAGATTATTTTTGTTGCAATGACTTTGTTTGAAGATTCTTTGCATTGTTTTATATAATGTACTATGCAACAAATAATATGAAGTTCCAATATAAATATTTCAGTGACCAAGATTATTTTTGCTGCAATGAATATCTAGTTATGTGATGATTCTTTGCAGTTGGTTGATATACAGTAGTATGTGACAAATAATATGAATTCCAATATAAATATTCCAGTTCCAAAGATGATTTTTGTTGTTGTAATGACTAGTTATTTGCTGTTGTCCCTTAAAATGTTGATATAGTATGCAACAAATAATTGAAGTCCAAACGATATTCCTGGTGCCCACATTGCTTTTTGTTGTAACGTCAGACTATTACTTGATGATTCTTTGGAGTTGTTTGATATTAACATTGTTTTTGTTCTTTCCATTTGCATACTGAATTGTAATTGTAACTCTGTGGATTGCATTTTGTCTTTGGACTGGATGCGTATGCATTGCTGACAGTGGATTAGGTAATTGCATTGTCCATCATTGCATCATCCAAGCATATCAGTTTTGCTTTACAAGATGGCAGCAAACCTCTCTCCATTAGATTGTAAATAAAATAGATAAATAAATAAATACACTTTTTACTTCAACTTTTGTTTCATTTCACAATAAATAAAGTTTTAAAGTTTAAATTTTTGATCTATTTTAATAAAGATTATAATTTCAACAGTTTTTTTTATTTCACTAGGCACATTGCTCTACTGAAAGAAAGTATCATAGAAGATTGATAAGCACAAGTAGTGAGATGTAATTTCCTGCATACTTTGAAATTCAAACTCAAAAACATCTAAGAAAAGAGATAATGAGATACTAGCAACAGTCTGGTTGACTATATATTTCTGATGAATTCTCTTTTGAGCTTTCATAAAGTTATAGAAAAAAAGGAAAGTTATAGTGCTAGAAAGGAGGTTAATCTGGGAGAAAGATCCTTAGAAATACATTGGGAAAAAAGTAATAAACCCACAGCTCTTCAGATTTTCTGAGCTACAATCATTAAGTTAACCCAGCCTACTACAACTGTAATACCTGACACAGCCCATAAAAACTATGCTCTTGACTAGTAAAAAAAGTACACCTTTCTGAAACAACTTTGCTAAGATTAGTGCTATCAAAGTAAGGTCAGGAAAACAATTAAGCTTTGTAGAAAATCAATTTGATTGGAATTTGTCTAGAAAAAGTTATGTTGATACTACATTAAAGTTAATGAACTTAACTTCTGATTACTTAAGAAGATAAAAATTGCACTTTTTAAATTCATTCATTTTTTTGGAGAAAATTCTCATTTTCAACAAACAAGACAGCATTCACATCGAATTCAATCCTAGTCCTGTCATCTTAGAGGTTTATTTCCAGGTATTACCATTCACAGGTCAAGCTACAGCTCTCTTGTTATGACAAGTTTAAGAACACATGATTTGGTGATGTCTAGATGTGAAATGCATAGTGGGTACAGATCAAACTACAACATTTCTTTGATGATATCTTCAACAAGAAATTACAATTGTAGACTTGCTGTATTCCTTAATCAACAAAACTTCCAAAATTTACAATGACATGTCAACAAATTTTCCTTCGGACAATACTTTAAAAGTAAATTTCTTACACTTCTCTCAAAACCTACAAAGCTGGGTAAACACATGAATTAACATAAAAAGTTGAGCATCATAGCAGATCAAATAAGCTCTTTTTTACCAAATTATCTAAAAGAAGACAAATATATTCAAATTTGCTGGCCCTAGTTCAATTAGAAACAATGCAGCCTTTGAATTTTCCAATATTTCCAGTAATTGTTATGACAAGTTACTGCACCTATCCCTTAACATATAAATTAATTTATGATTGGTTCTCATTTTGTTTGATTCTAATATAAGTCATGATTGGTCAATCCATCATTACACCATCATACTCTACAGTCCTTGCTTATTTGCAAACAATTTTGCTTGCAAAGTACAAACATGTAACACAAATTACTCCCCCTACCCCCATCAAAAACATCAATTGGACAGGTAACCAAGGTAGCAGAACCTGTGATTTACACTTTGTGCTGTACAGCATATTTAGGCTGAATGTACTCTTACCTGGTGAGTGGCATCTGAGCATAAAATGGTTGCTGGGACCAATAGTGCAGAATGCAATCAGTTAGTTTTATATTCAGATTGATACCAGGTACCAGCATAATAATAATAAATACAAGGTGCTCCTTCATATACAGAAATAACAAGCAAATGTACTGTTGCCTCAATCTTTTGTTAAAAATGGATTCCTTTGCTGTAAGGTTTTGTTCTCTATTGAACTACGTCAATTATATCCCAGACAAATACATATACAGCTATAAACAAGTAGCAAAAGTAGTCTTGGTAGCACAGTTTCAATAAAATTGACAATGCATACATTGAATAAAGATACCACTAAAACAATGGCTTGTTTGTTTACAAGACATTCAATTGTCAAGCTTACATTACCCATGATGCTCTGGAGGGGGGGATGGCCCTGTTTCTATTATTATCATAACATTTGACTCCTCCTTACTTCATTCACGAGCCTAACAATGAATTTCATGACTTCCTTATACATGTAATATCTATAGCTATTCTTACCACCTCTTTAACCTCCACAACTCAACGAACTTCGACGTCGTTTGGCCTCCGTCATGTCAGAAAGGAACATGTTCATGTGTTTACCCTAAAACGTCAAGTAAACCAACATGCCTAACGTCTAATAAGGTCTTTGGACAATATGATAAGATTAACGTCGAAATATAAGTAGTTTTAAACATTTTTACCTTCAAAATATGTCATTTTATGAATCCACGTGCAATAACAACTTCACAGTCCGCCATAACACTAGGCCCGCAATGCATCACGACCCATTCCACAGGAAACCCATCAAAACGGGGGAATTTCTGGCATATTCAAAGGACCTAGCCCTGTCCCTAACCGTAGGGCGGATAAATGCAGGTAGAAGAGAGAGAGAGAGGGAGGGGGGAAGATTGTACATAATTTTTCATGAAAGAGGTGCACAAGACTTTGAAGCAATCATAACTTCCTGCCATACTAATTACATTTGCCAGATGAAAGAATTCATGTTGATTGGAATGCAAATTAAAAATGATTCAGTAATTTACAAAAAGATAGTTGTAAAGAAGGGGAGGCAGAAACATCTAACTATTATTGTTATTTTTGCTCGCTTCCAGTTTCACCTTCCTTTCCTCAACACAGGAATCCCGATATCTTTTTTGAGATGCCTGTACTGTGAAGGTGGCTAATCAAAGACCTGGTCGACGACGTGACAAATCGTTACTGGACGGACATATCGATATTCTGAAAACAGAGCAGTGTCGTTGAGAGGCATTACATGTCAGCTGGTGTAAGGAGGATTGATGTCCATKAAGGAAGGATAAGGGGGACGCTGTTCCTACCCCCTTTGGAGACGGTCCTTTCAAGATGGCTTTCCATCTGGTTCAGGCTGTCCAAAGCGCAATTAGCGTTAGAGTTAATCTCTTCAGGCTGCCAAGAACTCGATTTATCATGAATTCATGTTTTCAACAGTCTACGAAAYGCGTGAAGTTGTCATGTTCTCCTTTGTCAGCCAAGATGGACGAGAAGGTCAAGGTCGACGTTGAAGGTCTTGAACCAAATCAAAAGGTATCTCTTCAAGCTAAACTAGTGGGAGATTCAAATGACAGATATCATTCACTGGCTCACTACATAGCAGACCAACAAGGCCGAGTTTGTTTGAATTCTCAGCCTTCTGTTGGAGGGTCGTATGTTGGCGTTGAGCCGATGGGATTTATGTGGAGTCTCAAACCCGAGCCAAATCARARACCTGGTCGACGACTGATGAAAAGAGACGTGACAAAGCCTTATTTAGTAAACCTAGCGTTACTGAACGGACATGTCGATATTMTGGAARCAGAAAACTKTCATCCATTGTCGAGTTTAACGATTGAGAGGCATTACATGTCAGCTGGTGTAAGGAGGATTGATGTCCATGAAGGAAGGATAAGGGGGACGCTATTCCTACCCCCTGGAGACGGTCCCTTTCAAGGTAAAGTTTCAAGATTTGATGGCTTTCCATGTGGTCCAGGTTGTTCAAGCGCAATTAGCGTTAATCTTGGGGAAACCATCATTGATAGGTTTTTAAGCAAGATTTAAAACCAAGGATCATGGTGCTAATTGAGCTTTGAACTTAAAACGACTAGCCCGACTAACAAAAGAAAGGCAGAATCTCAGTACCCCTGATATGCTTAGATTTATTAGCAATTATTTTCTGTATAGATTTTGTCCTAATCTTAGTACATTGATAACCTACAGGAGTCATTGATTTGATGGGTGCAATTGGATTACTGATTGAATACAAAGCTGCCATACTAGCTTCCAATGGCTTTGCAGTACTTGCTTTGGCATACATTACACACAGTGATCTTCCCAAAGAATTAGGACAACTTGATCTTGAATACTTCATAGAAGCTGTTGATTGGTTGAAAAATCACCCATCAATCATTAAAGGAGGAGTGGGGGTAAATGCGATCTGTAAGGGAGCTGAAATCTCTTTACTACTTGCTTCACACTGTCAAGATGTTAAAGCAGTAGTTTCTATAAGTGCACTTTATGGACTGTCATTACAGTCTATGAACTACAAAAATAAACCAAGAATACCATTCTTTAAACTTSATGGATTTAGGATTGAAAAATTGGAAAATGGTGCTGTTAAATGGAGAAATGGTTGCATTGATGACTGGACTGGAAGTGTTGAAGSAAACCCAAAAGCCTTTCCTGTGGAGAAAGCYAGTGCATCATTTCTTGTGGTTTATGGCACAGATGACCATTTATGCAACAGTGAAGTATCCGCATCAAAGATCTACAACAGATTAAAAGCGTTTGGTAAGGAGGCACAATGCACTGTTMTTGGTTACCAGGGTGCTGGTCACCTAATTGAGCCWCCGTATAGTCCACTTTCCGTCATGASYTACCAMAAGTTCTTTGATATTTATTTATCATGGGGTGGAGATACCAAGGCACATGCCCATGCTCAGGAACATGCTTGGCAAAAGATATTGTCATTTTTTAAAGAAAAGTTGCCTCAAAGGACAACCTTTAGCAAATCATAAAGTACAATTATTTTACTATATAATCTATAATATAGGACCAAAATTTCAGCTTTTATTCAATGTTAAAGAATCATAAACAACTGMTGTAACTTGTGAKCCAAAACACCATTCTAGGTGGACACGAAAGCTTAGGATTTGTGTGACAACGCAAGTCGTCTTCCATCCTTTCAGTTTGGACCGAAATACCTTTAACCCTATTCAGCACCCCCTCTATATCTTCRGAATCAATASGTTTATGACCATGAAATTTTCACACAACGATCGCACATGTAMGACGAATCACCACACCCATTCTTGACCCGTGGGAACTAAATGTGAYGTCATTATGACRTCATTTACATCATTTTGACGATTTATAATGCATTTTTAATGATAATTCTTATTAATCATTTACATATATTCACTTAATATAATTTCTGAAAGGCATTTTTAAAAAAAATAATCTATTTTGATGCAACTTGTTCAGAGAAATGTGGTTGAAGGTTTCTACCCTCAGCCATTAGGGCTTCTATTTCTTCACATGTGCGAGGAACACAKGTCATAAGTTCCATACCATCAGCTGTTACAATGATGCAGTCTTCAATGCGAACCTATGAAAGAGGAGGAAGGGTTAGATGGGCAATGCATTTAGGGAAATAKCATGGGTATAAGGAGGCAGTACAGTTAGGAGGCAGCAGAAATGATATAGCATGGTAAAGTGAGTTACAGCAGCTTAAGGAGGTAGGACTGTTAAGGAGGCTGAAAAATTCAGGTCACAGGCAGCATGTTGTAGAAGATGAAGACGCACATTTAAGGCCTGTTCTCACGTGGATCGTCATGCGACCAACTTCGCTGTGATTTTTCCATCGCTGCAACAATGATAGGGCTGTTTACAGATACTAATTCAGCTCCATGATAGCAAAGTGTCAATTAACATGTCGCAAATGTAAACTGCTTTTAAAGAATCATAACCAACCACCGTATCTTGCGAGCCAAAGCGCCATTTTAGGTGGACAAGAAAATGGCGGATTTGTAGGATTTCTTAAAGTGAGCGCGAATCGTCTTCCGTCCTTTCAGTTTGGACAGAAATACCTTTAACTACAGGTACTATCAATCTATAATTTATTGTATGCTTGACAYATTTWAA